ATAAAAATTAGGTACATCTATGTGAGACTATCGCTACATTTTGCTTGAGATAACAAATTCCATTTGGTTTGTGATAGTCCATGGCAGGTCAATAATAATATGCACATGACAGGTTACGAAACCGTCGAAGTACCATTTTTCATTAATAACAGATAGAAATTAGGTACATCTATGGTAGACTAGCGTTACATTTTGCTTGTGATAGCAAATTCTATCTGGTTGGTGATAACTATGAAACAGGCCTGTACGTATGAACATGACAATTTATGAAACCGCCAATAACTAATTTTCAGTAATAACGGAGATTAGGTAGGTACCATTATGTCCGATTAGCGTTACATTTTGCATAGGTGGCAATTGAACAAGCTGGGCGCTCTGGATTGTGATTGTTCCAGGGCTGACATTTCGAGGGCAGGACTTAATGATGACGATGGATAAATAAATTCTGTTCTATTCTAGCCACCTAAGGTGAACCCTGAGGAAGCGGCCGGTATAATAGAAACTGTCGCACGCAGGGATGCGCGCTTGGTCTCTCTACAGCAACATGTGAGTTGTTCATTAGATGCAAGTGGCAATACTCTATCCTTTAGGTTCAAAGAAGGGAGAGGACCGCATGCTGGCAGATATTCACATTAAAGCAAAGAACTCACGGGTACTCAGAGGCTTCCATTGATAACTTGCTCTTCGGAGTAAGTCTGACCAAGCAAGTCAGTTCTAAGCAGAAATCAGATAAATATGAGCAGCAACTGAAGGGCAAAAGGCCGGACAACGTACCGACAACATCAGCCATTACCGGGTATTGCAGACGAGGTACGTAGATCAGCAGGGAGATTGACGCGTATTCATCATCAATGGCAGAACTTTAGGAGTGGCGCTAAAGTCCTGAGTTGAATTCGAGTGGTCACTTGCCATTCACATGACGACCGATTCAGCACTCTGCCATTGCTGAATCTCATTAGTCCATCTATCTTCGAAACAACAGTCTCTCAATTGCTTAGCTTCGGTGCTATCAGTAAAAAAGTTGAGCTAACTAAAATATCAGCACCTATCCAACGTTTTCTTGCCCTCAAGTCTGACGGGTGAACACGATTGATTCCTTACCTGGGATAGAACACTTAAGCTAGAAGGCTACTGGGATCAGACTTCTCAGTAAAGATACTTTCTGGACAAATCTGGATTTGGAATATGCACAGACTTTGGTACCCATCAGGGGGAGTCGTAGAATATATTTCAGATTCATATTCAAGGAACGGCTCTTCCAAAACAATGCTGTGCCGTTTAGGCTGAATTGTGCACCTCATGTGTTTACAAAGTAATAAAACCATTTCTGGCATGCCTTGAGGAAAAAGAAGTATCTCTGTCTGTATTTCCTTCTGTTTGGTTATACTGATAGAGACTATCTGAATAAGAGCCGGGCAAAAAAAGTCTGCTTGACCTCTAGTAAAAATTGGGCACTTTTACGCCCAGTATTCATTTGTAATAGAAAGGAATCTTTATTTGAGCGGAAGAGGCAGACATTACTAAACCTAGTTAAGGGCAATAATGGTTAGCAACCAAGACAGAATCCGAGACTTTGCGGACCGCATCGGGATCTTGGTGTCAGCTTATCTTTCATTTCGATACAGCCTCGGGGCCACTCTTGTGGCAACTACTTTTAGTTTTACCATATTTTACTCCCAAATGTCTGTGCGCTTAAAGCATTTATTTGTCACTTCAAAGAAACTTTATATCATGGTGCCTCTGAGCCACTATATATTGATTGACAACGTTTGTTTCAGCAGAGAGTGGTCTAGGTGTGTCACAGTTGACTGCCCACAGTACATGAAACGCATATACCTCTGTGCCAGATAAATTATAGTAGGTTCAGACCTGCGGCGGGCTGGAGCGCGTTTTCTGAGACGCTTCACAAATTTCTTATGCCAAACAATAGCTTTGCTCAAGCGTCATCTGAGGTAAACCAAGTCTCCACACCTTAAACACAACTACGTTATTACGTTATTTGCTTGTTACCATGTAATGGGTGGTAATTTTTATTTTTGAACCTATGTACAATACGACGTACCTGATGTTAAAAGCCCTAATTTTAGTTGTTACAATGTAAATGTAAATATAGTAGACACATACATATATTGCGTACAACTTGTGTAGTTGTGTACAACCTATAGTTTACAATTGCAAAGCGTTAGCAGTATGTTGTTGCAATCCGCTTTGAACATCTATGTACATATCTATTTATTCTATTTACGAGACGAGGCCGGTACATACTATAGCATGATCAAACGAACTTAACTGTTAGTGATGTTTGATCTTAATTATGTAAAGGCCTTGTCGAAGTGAACAGGTCCCTTCTTCCCTATGTTTGTATTACCCAATTGTTGCAATAACTTGGCTTTGAAGAAAATGACAGTTTGTAGGCCGCTTTTCTTCGCTGCGTGTGCGCTTTGAACTTGTGGATTGATCGGAAATAGGATACTATAGTACATATCTATTTTATTTACTTCGACGAGGCCTTCACATAATTAAGATCACTTACAGGTAAGTTCGTTTCACAATGTAATTGTATGGAATGTTTTATTTACATTTTAATGTTTTGGTCATACAATTTAATAAATTATATCATTATAGATAGAATACATTGCCGTTATCGCTTTTGGAAAACTAACAATAGACAAGTTAAAACGTCTTAAATAAGATTTGATCATACAAAATGCTCTCGTAGCCTTTCAAACTGAAATTTCATTATATCTCCAAATAAAGGAACTTCACGGAAATTCCGATTTTAAAATACATTTTGCACTTGATAAAAAGATGCTTGCATTTGCACTTCCACCAACTTATACTAGGTCTGGTTTTAGTAAGACACTCTCGGAAGGATAGCTTACCCAGGAAAATGACATAGAGGAAAGGAACTAAATTTGAGACAGGCGCCTAATTTGAGACAGTGGTGTAACTTTGTATCTTTGTAGCAGCATCTTCTAGTATTACCAAAAAAGTTGTGAACTAAGACGCAGTAGTATATTCTACATGTGTTTACAGTTTAGTTTTGCACATGGTTTGCTCTGACATCACAGCTTGTTACTTCTTGAGAGTTAAAAATATTTTTAATAGCGCGAGAAAAGTGATCACTAAAATTAAGGTAAGTTACTTAGAATAATTGTCAGATATAAATTTAGTAGTTTACAAATACCTAATTTATTTTCTTTTGCAACATTGTGATTTTATTAGGTATACGAGTATAACCTAAATATGCTTGTGTAAGCTTTTTAACGGAAAATTCCTAATTTGAGATACCCAAGTGTTCCTAATTTGAGACTATCTCAAATTAGGGCCCTGTATCAAGATGCATATGCCTGGCAACACAAGAGTAAGGAGATAGATTATTTAAAAGCCTCAAAAGGATTCGGCTAGATGCTAGATACCTTCCCCCTCCAGTTCAAGTTCCGAATGCAGCGGAAGCCTTAAGTTGGATAATTCATCTTCAGACGAAAGCAACATGAAAGCGATGATAAGAAGATAAGAAGGGTGAAAAATGAGCAAATACAGCCATTGCAGTAGATGGGCACATAAAAATTGTGAAGAAATTACCAATAAAATTTTGATTTGCACTTTCTGCAAAAGAAAGGGATTTTTTGAATAGTATATCAAATTAGGGAACCAGCTGTAAATTCACAAAAATATTTACTTTTTTTAATATAGGGTAAACCGGTGAAATACGCCTCACCGGGGAATACGCCCAGTGTCACCGTAACAAATTACGTCCGGCAGCAGTTACCTTAGCCACCGCCATTACGTTGCTGTCATACTCCAGAAAGTCGGCCGTGTGTGTTTATGCCAATTTATTGCGTTTATTTGAAAAAAATATGCATTACTGTCATCTAGAGCCCATAAAATTTTAAGGTATGTAATATTTTTGTTTTATTTTAGAATGTCTTGCAAAATTTTTATAGTTTTGGGATCACTTTAGACAAACACCATTTCTAACCTATAAATTGCGCCAATTCCGCCTCGGTTTGCATTTCATGTTAGCTTGATAACCGGTGGGGCGTATTCCCCCGCGTTTCGGAAATACGCCCCAGTAAAATTCGTGTAAAACGCCCCACCCAATGGTGTGAGTTTTAGTTAATTTAGGTACTTTTGGTTTACAGAATATGGGTAGAGTATATGTTCGCAAAACCACCCGTGCTTCATTTAGTGAAGAAGCATTGGCAGAGGCTATGCAAAAGGTAATTTCAAGAGAAATGGGCACAAATGAAGCAAGTAGAGCGTATGGGATTTCATCTCGTACTTTACGAAGGCATTTGATCGCCAAGTCTTCAAAAGTACGCTTAGGCCGTTGTCCAGAAATAGGAATAGAACACGAAAGAAGGCTGGTCTTACATATAAAGGCCCTTGAAAGAGTTGGCTTTGCACCAGATGCTACTTCTGTTAAAAAAATGGCATTTTCATTTGCAGAGAAGCTTCATTTAAATCACCGATTTTCCAGAGAAGCCAAATCAGCTGGGGATGATTGGTTTCAAGGGTTTTTGCGACGTAATAGAGAGCTTAGTATCAGAAAGTCAGAAGGGCTCTCACTAGCTAGGGCAACAGGAATGAACAGAACAGATGTTAGCAATTTTTTTACTCTTTTGCGCGATGTCATCATAAAAAATAACTTGCTTAATAAACCAGATAAAATATTCAATGTCGATGAGACAGGCATTCAGATTAACAACAAGCCTGGGAAAGTAGTAGCAACTAAAGGGACAAAAGATGTTTATTCATTGACAACATCAGAAAGAGGAGAAAATATTTCCTTAGTTTTCATGCTGCAACGCAGAAGGTTACTTTTTGCCACCTGTTTTAATATTTAAAGGAAAGAACAAAAAAGATGAATTTTTGGATGGTCTTCCTCCCGGATCCGGTGTGCTAATGAATCCAAAATCATCCTACATTAATTCAGAATTATTCCTAAAATGGTTTTAAAGATTACTTTTTGCCAAAAAAAGGCAATGGGAAAGCCTTATTAATATTGGACGGGCACGCATCCCATTGTAATGCTATTGAGCTATTAGATTTAGCTAATGAAAATGAAGTAGTTATTTTGTGTCTCCCCAGTCATACGACACAAGCTCTTCAACCCTTGGACAGGTCTTTTTTTAAGCCACTTAAAACTTATTTCTTTCAAGAAGCAAAAAACTGGATGATTCAAAATAAAAATAGAAAGCTATCCAGAATAAATATTTCGAGATTAATTGGGAATGCATGGGGAAAAGCGGCAACCGTCGCGAATGCCACATCTGGGTTCAGAGCTTGTGGTATTTATCCATACAATCCTCAGGCCATTCCAGAACATTTTTTCTCATTTCGGACGCCAGTATCTCAGCCGCTAGCGCAACTAAAGCTCTTCCTTCAACATCAAATCATTCTAATTTAACTCCAGGGCCAAATAAAGCTCAACCTTCTACTTCCTTCTCTCCTGGACATACAAACATGGGTGTTTCTGATATGTCTACCGATTCTCAAACCTCCAACGAAGCCTCAGAAGTTTCATTAAATTTAGAAGAAAAAGAAACTCCTTCAAAATTTTTAAGAGAAGATAACCCAATTCCTCTAATACCTAATACAATTCCGAAAAGGAAACAACATGCTTTAGAACTGACGTCTCCTGAAAATCGGGTTAAAAGACGAGTATTCTCAGAGAAAAAAAAACAAGCTCAAGATAAAAAAGACAAACGAAAAAAGCCGAGCGAAAATGAGAAAAAATTAGGAGGAAAGCCTGCGTTAAACAAGTTAAAAGAAAACAAAATGTATCAAGTTCGTCTTCGTCGGAAACTGAACCACATTTTAGCTCCTCTGAAGACTTATCTGATGACACTGATGATTACTGCCTTGAATGTCGCGAATACTACTACACCACCAAATCTAAGGTGACTGGATTCATTGAAGCTGTAGAATGGTTACATGAAACCTCACGAACCACACAAACATGTGTTCGTGCAATAAAAAACGTAATTTCTACTAGGGCGTATTCACAGTTCGGAAAAGCCCAAAGCTTTTTTTTTAATTGGTGTAACTCAACTTAGTGGAAATTATGTTTATATTAGAGAAAAACGATGTTAGGCGATAAAATAAAAAAATATATTTGGTTTATTTCAAAGTGGGCTAAACTATACTTTTTGTCTGTAAAAAATACATTTAGTATTTTTTATTTTAGAGTATGCTAGGAGCATCAAATCTTAACTTTATTTAAAAATATACGCTCGTTTAAAACAACAAGTACTTAATTTTTCCTTTTCAAAAAAAGTATCTCAAATTTGGTTCCTTTCCTCTATATTGCTGCTTGGAATATAAATAAGATTTTCTTATTTTTGTAATGTATAGCTCTGCTAAATTTTCTAAGTGATCCCACTCCCACACTGTTCTTGAACATTATTTTTCCAAAATTGAAGTGACGGGAATATATCGCATCACTTTTCAACTTCCATTTACTCGTACTTTGAGGTAATACGACTTTTCGTTTAAATAGTAGGTAGTCGCTTTCCATAAAATGGAACATATCCTTGCAGTTTGTACATTGAAATTGTATTGCTTATTATACTTCAGACCTCATTGTTTGCAAATTTGTTTGCTGGAAAATTGAAGAATCGCCAATTTGAAACGTCTTTGCTTTTCTTGTTATTGCTTGAACAACCCATCACTGCACAGTACACCATAGTTAAATTCACAGTCTTTTATATTTTACACAGAGACTAATTTGAAACACATCCGATAAAAAATTGTACCAAAATATCACAAATTGCGCCATATAAAACTGTACGTTCGTCAACCGTATCTGGGGATTTTGTCACCTCGTGACGCCGCACGTGGGTTTATCTTCTCGAATAATAGTATTTCAGTTAACTCCAAATCCATAAAGCTAAACGGAAAATAAAAGATGAAGCTTTGCTAATTAATACCTCAGCTCACACTCACAGCTTATATTAATCCTCACACATTTAGATTATTGTAGTGTATATTAGGGGAGACCGAGGAGGGTTGAAAGATAGGTAAGTTGAAACAACAGAATTTTTGTGGAAACCAAAGACGTTATGGAGCTGGCAACAACGCTTATTTGCCTCTGCTGTAACCTGCACACAAGTGAAGGTTTCGTTACCGCTCTCCAGTCCACGCTTACATCGTTATCAAATGTGATGTGAAAAATTTAACAAAAGTAAGTTTTTGTCATATTTTAACTTTATCAATATTTTGATTTATATACTGTTTTATTACAATGTGTTGTATGTTTTCTGAAAGCTTAATCATTCAAGATTCGGTCTGTAGCAATGTTTTTGTAACACTGTATTGCACAACGAGGTAACACCGGCTCAACCATAATGGCGGCAGATTTTTGTACTCCAGGAGAGTTGAAACAGCCTGTTTCAACTTACCTCGTTTGCGTTCAATTTTGCAATTGACTTTTTATATACGTTTTTGAATTTTATCAGTATGCCTGAAGTCTGTCTTATGCTCTTTTTGTTTTAGGATGCCGAACGAATACAAGCGAAAGACGAATCGGGGTATGGCAAGCAAATAAATTTACGAACTGGCTTCCGAAGAAGTGATGCTACGTAATAAATCTCTTCGTGATGCTGCCACAAGTTATGATATAAACCATACGTCGCTTTACAGATACATTAAGAAAAAACAAGCGTATGAGAGCAATAAAACCATCCAACCACCCTCAATTGGATATCATCGCCCCACAGTGTTTACCAAAGAGGAAGAAAAATCATTGTGTGAATACGTTTTGAAATGCTCTGATGCCAATTTTGGGTTGAGTACAAAAGAAGCAAGAAAACTTGCGTATAAGCTTGCTGTGGCATATGACAAAAAGTGCCCTTCTTCTTGGATGCAAACCAAAATGGCTGGTGAAGTTTGGCTCAGATTGTTCATGAAACGCCACGAAGTTTTGTCTTTGAGACTTCCACAAGCGACAAGTATTGCTCGAGCGACCAGTTTCAATAGAACCAACGTGGAACTATTTTTTAAAAATTATTGTTCGATACTTGACAAATATATGGAAGCAAAAGACATCTGGAATGTTGATGAAACAGGCATAACTACTGTCCAAAAGCCTGATCGTGTTATTGCACGACGAGGTCAAAAGCAAGTCAGCGCCATGACGTCTGCAGAAAGAGGTAGTTTAGTCACTCTAGCATTAGCTGGCAATGCTATAGGTAATTGCATTCCACCAATCTTCATATTTCCCCGTAAGCGTTTTAACGATCACTTTATTCGTGATGGTCCAAGTGGGTCCATTGGAACAGCCAATGGTTCTGGATGGATGCAAGAAGATGATTTTTATTGCTTTATAGAGCACTTCAAGGATCACGTCCGATCTTCCAAAGAAAATCCGGTTTTGTTATTACTAGATAATCATGCTTCGCATACCGCTGTCAAAAACATCAACTTTTGCAAGTAAAATGGAATCGTTCTGTTGACGTTTCCACCACATTGCACGCACAAACTTCAGCCTATGGACCGAGCTATCTTTGGCCCTGTAAAAAAAGCAATCAATACAACATGCGATAACTGGATGCGTTCACACCCAGGAAAAGTAATGACAATATATGACATTCCAGGAATTGTCAAAACTGCCTTTGATATAGCAGTCACCATAAAAAATGTAACTGCAGGATTCCGGACGACCGGGATATGGCCATTGAACACTGAAATATTTCGTGAAGAGGAGTTTTTGCCCAGTCAGGTGACCGATCGAGCACTGCCACCAACAGTACTTGTACAGGAAGATTCCGTTGTTCAAACTAATGATCCTGAAGTTCCAAGGACCAGCAGAGAAGCCGAACGTACTCCAAGCCCACCGATCAAAGATTCACTCTATTATAATCCCACTGTTTCTAATACTAATGCAAATGCAGAAGTATCATGCACTCCCACAATTTTGTCTTCAAATCAAGACGATGCTCCTACCCCTGATTCACTTTATCCTATGCCATCAACTTCGAAGGTATCTATTACGTCGTCAGCCATTAGTGAGGTTTCTTCAACTTCAAATACATCTACTGTAACTACTGCAGTCAGTGTATTTTCTCCGGAAGCAATAAGACCTCTACCGAAGGCAGAGGCTAGGAAGATTACGCAAAAAAGGAGAAAGATAAAGTCAGCTATATTAACTGTATAAACTGTATAAAAAGTATAAAAACGTAAAAAGACCTGCGTTAAACCTAGAAAATAAAACTAAGAAATCCGTTAGCAAAACAACGAGGAATTGTAAGAATAAAGGAAAAATAAGTGAGAAAGAAAGTAGTGACAGTGACGATGATGACTGCTTCTGTGTAGTTTGTATGGAGCCGTTTTCCCAAAGTGTCCCAAAGGAAGAATGGATTCAGTGTATAGAATGCAAGTCATGGGCTCATTTGGCCTGTACAAAAGGCGACTTGTTCTACGTGTGCCATAATTGCTTCTCTGAATAGGATTTTCTTTGTTCTTTGTTGCGCTTATTATTCTTTTTTATTTTATTTTATATTTTATGTTGTTTTTTATTTTAAGATCTCAATGTTGTCATCACTGACAAATAAGGTACATTTTAGTTCAGTAACTTCAATATATTACTAATTCATAAGCTGCTTTCTTAAAAAAAGAAACCTTCCAAATACTTGTGTTCCAACTCTCCTAGGTCAGCGTTTCAATTTACCTCAGCAAGAGGAGAATTGCAACAAAATTAATGGTCGACTTATAATCGATTTTTTTGAAAATGAAGTAGACCGTGACGTATTTTATTTTGATTATTCATTAGCCTTAGCTTAGCTTAGTAAGCAAGGTTTCACATGGTATATTAAACTTTGTAGGCTAACACTTATTTATGAAGTTATGTGCCATTATGTGAAAATTGTTTCAACTCTCCTCGGTCTCCCCTATTACCCTTTTCTCACTGAGGAAATGCAACAAAAAATTCAAGTTTTACAAAACCATTATTGTACTCGTATAAGGTTTTGTTTCAATGAGATAAACAGACATTACTGGGTATTATGTAAGGGAAAATCTAAAGTTCAAATATCGCTCGTTACTTCTCTATGCTGTTTCTACTATTCAGGGTTTTAAAATAGAAATCTCCGAAATATCTTTTTAACGCATTAGAGAAACGATCTTCACTCCATCAACTGTTCCTCCATAATGAATTTTGTTATAATATACCAGCTCACACTACGTCAAAATTTAAAAAATGTTTCTACTACATAGCAGCTCCCAGTATACTAAATTATTACCCAATTTTTTTAAAACTAACGTCCATTCACAGCTTCAACAGAGAATTCAAAAGAATGCTAGTACAGTTACAGTTTACCTAATGAATCTACAGGTGGTTGAATAGATATTATTATTATATTTTAAAGTTTTGTTAACATTATTATAGTCAGCTACATGTTCTTTATGTGATGTATATGATATGCCCTAGTAAGATATAGCAATGCACTTAATGAATTTACCTTAGCGATTCAGGCGGGGGTGAAAAATACCTATGCCAATCTCCAGCCCTTTGGAGTATTTTTTGAGTTATATTATTTGCTGGTATTTTGATTCTATTATGTATTAATACTCCAATAATCATTATTATTATTATATACAACCTATGTATGATATGAGCATCCTCAAATATTTTAAGATACATCTAATTACCACTGGAAGATGCAAAACTTTTAAAAATTCCATAATTTCAAAATAAACCACTACAAGCATAGCGGAAACTCCAGGAGCTTCTTGTAGCACCATCTAGTGATCAGCCGTCAAACTTTCACGCAGCACTAGTAAAGCTCCCTTCCTCAAGCGCTCGGACAAATTAAAGGCCATTGAAAAGAGGGATCTGCAACTTTTTCAAACGGGTCGGCTCTTTCGAAAGGACGATCAATATACGTACTGCCTCCCCTAAGCTTATTTTCTATTGAGCGTGATCAGTGGCGGCCGTAGACCATATTTGTATGAACGTAAGCGACATCATTTCCTAGCATGGCGTACCCAAGGGGTTACGGGTGACAAAAAGGGGGATAAGAGACAAAAAATCATAGTATTCAATGATGCCACTTTGTAGAGGTAAAAAAGTAGCAATGTTAATATGTAGCTTATTTTCAGATCATATCTCAAATTCAGTAAAAACAAAAACGATTTTAGGAAAATTCGTGTCCTTTTCCATGTATCTCCGGAGATGTTAACCAACTCGTACTCTTATTGTTTCAGAGATTACAATAGTGAAAATATAAAAAATTTCTTTTTCAAATCACTCTAGAACAGCCTAGCTACATATCCTTCTACATATTCTACAAAACAATTCCTTCGTCTGAAGGTTTTTTCGTGATTACAAGATTCGAAAACATCATGCGAGCTCAGAATTTTCACTAGTTATCCAGTTTATTTATGAAAGAGTAGTGGTAATGTTATCCACAAGAAGGGATTCCTTAATTCAAAGGCACAAATACTCTTGAAAGAATGACGTTGATTCGAGATCTCAGGTATAGATGTAGTCCCGTTCTTGGCGGTTACGTCATCAAGTCCATATGAAATAAGTGAACAGATAAAGCCTCCGTACCATGGGCGAAACACTGCGCAGTCTAATCTTCAGCGCAACTTCTACTCTCTCCAGGTGACCGCTGTTTTCATTCTCTTCCTGGAAATACTCTAATAAATTTAGCACGAGCTGTCGGCCTTCTCGATTGATCGTAGTTTCGGGCATTGTACAATTTTATATTGAAGATTGATAACAGGACAGCCCATATTGCTCACGACAAAGTTTTTGAGATGAAGACACAACTCAAAAACGTATGTCTTTGAGCTTATCGAACAAACGATCACACACAGGGGTTGATTGCATGTGTATGTATGAGAGAGATGGATATATATAAAAGGATAATGGTAGTCTTACTTTAACACACCAAGAACGGTGACTACAACTATACAACAGATATCTAATACAGTTCTTACAATAATTATGCTGAATAGATTTCAGTTCAAAGAAACATATCAAAGTAAGTAAAATTCACTGTAAATATAGATGAGCTTGATTCATCTTTTAATGTTTTTAAAAAGTTCTTATGGCTATCCTTGGTTTGACATTTTCACAACACACAAAAATGTCTGACTATTTTATCTTTTCTGGTTATGTTTGTTTTTTTTGTATGTTTAGATGGTTCTGGTTTAGTAATATGAATAATAGAGGAACTAAATATTAGGTCAAACGAAAAGCGTAAAGGAACCATAGTGGCGAGTGCTACTTCTGCTCGGGTGATGTCAAAGAGTTCAACTCAGTATCAAATAATCAAAGCATTCCGTATAATACCCAAATCTCCCCTTAGCTATTTATCCTCTTCCTCGTGATGCAGAAATACCTGTTACAAAGCCCCCTGTTACGTTGGGAGAGATACCAGGCTCAGGTGAAAGTGAAGTACAATCTCAAGACGATCAGGATTCAAGTTCTGACTTTGAAGATGACACTAGACCAAAATTGTTCTTCCAGGAAGAGATAAATGATTTCTTGAGAGATCTTGATGTTCCCAAAGATGCTGCTGAGTTGCTTGGAACTCGACTCAATGATAAGAATCTATTACTACCTGGAGAGCCTTTATCTTGGTTCAGACATCCTGAAAAGAATTTTTTGCCTTACTTTACCAACAAAGATCAGTTCACCAGCCCATTTGTATTAAAAAATAAACTATTAAATGATAAACATGACCCCACATATTTTTATATGCACTACTTATCCCTCTTACGCGTAAGACCTCGCAAAAAGTTGATACCCAACTTGTGAAAGAACGTGGCGTGCTACGGCAAAACGGAGTTTATTTTTACATTCAGTGCGTCACAAACAATATAAATCAGTTAAAATTACCAAAACAATTTATTAAAAATGTTTTTGCAGACCTGTGTTAACGATACAAAGATAACGAAATTGACGTTTACAGTCGCTGGTCGAAAACTCTTTTTCTTTTACAAAACTCAACATCGGTGTCACGACCATGTTTCTTAAATGATGTTTTATTATATATATATATATATATATATATATATATATATATAGAGTAAAGTGGGGTAATATGGCACCTTGGGTAATACGTCGCAGTTCAATATTTCCGTTATAAATCGGTAGAGTGCATCGGAGTAGGCCTCAAGTGCACGTGGTTATGCTGTTTTCTTCGCTAAAATCATCTAAAGATGAGAATTTAACAGTGTTTGGGAAAAATTACGAAAATACAAGGTAAGTGCATTCTTCAAATTATTTTGTGATAAGATTTTGATAACGTGAAGGCAATTGTAAGTCTTCTGTTGCAATTCCCAGTAGGGACATATGAATCTACTGTACATAACCTAACTTGTTATGCCGCCTAGGATAACCAGGTTTCACCAGACATGAGTTTACAATTTACTAAATCTGGAAGACACATTTTGGGATAATATGGCATAATAGTGTAGCATATTACCCCAAAATGCGGCATATAATCCCAATATGTGGCATTACACAATTTAAACTTTCAGAGTAAAGAAGATGCTACGAAATTACGCCAAGAAAAATTTGAGGGTCATGTGATCAGCAGAAAATCTGACAAATGCAATCACAGATGTTAGAGATGGTCGTGGTTCAGTAAGTCAAATTAGTCGAACATATTCTGTGCCTGTTAGGACCTTAATGAGAAGAATGCAATCAGGCAACGCAAACAACGTCAAGTTAGGTCGTAAGAAGGTCTATGCTCAGGGCATGACCGAAGCTTGGTAGAATACATCCAAAAAATGGGGAAGACGGGTTTTACGCTAACATCTGTAGACGTAAAAAAGATTGCGTACTCATTTGCCGATCATCATAATATAGAAAATCATTTAAATCGGGAGAAAAAACAAGCTGGTCATGACTGGTTCTGCTCGTTTATGAAGAGACATCCGAATTTATCCATTAGAAAAGCTCAGAGAATGTCAACGGCCCGAGCCCGAGGTATGAACAAAGAAGAGTGCGATCATTTCTTTGACCTGCTTTGGAACCTTTTAATGAAAAGAACCTGATAAACACTCCCAGAAAAATCTTTAGATGAAACTGGGGTTCGGCTAAATAACAGCCCAGGAAAAGTAATAGCCACTAAAGATTCCAAAACGGTAAATTGAGTCACAAGCGCAGAGAAAGATGAGATTGTATCAATTATAGCCTGCGTGAATGCAGAAGGACATTTCCTTTCACCCTACTGCATTATGAAGGAAAAAAAAACAAAAAAAAAGAATTTGAAGACGGATTGCCACACGGTGGTACAGTTGTAATGAGTGAAAGATCGGCGTATGTAACTACGGATATTTTCAAAACATGGCTTCCTCGTCCCTCCATCCCACGTTAGGAACAAGGCAAAGTACTTCTCATCCTTGACGGTCATTCCTCTCATTGTCCTGATGTGGAAATACTACACCTGGCAACAGCCAATGACATAAGTCTGTTATGCCTACCCAGTCACACTACTCATTGGCTGCAGCCATTAGACTGATCATTCTTCAAGCCTCTTAAGATGTATTGGAACGAAGCATGTAAGAAATGGGTACAAAGCAATCCCGGTCGCAAACTCCCTAGATTGTAGTTTCCGTCGCTCCTAAATGCTGCGTGGTGCAAAGCTGCCACGGTTCAAAATCGAGTATCAGGATTTAGAACATGTGGCATTTTCCTTTTGATAAGTGCAAAATCCCAGAATATGCTTTTATTGCCGAAAATACTGCAAATGCTGCTCTTGCAGATGAGAATACACCAGAGGAAAATATTGGGGAAGCAACTGCTCATGTTCCTGTCATTAATGACCACGACCGAGACAACCGGCATTCTCCGAACACAGTTGATCCAGATCAAAACCCATTTGAAGCCATTTCAGCGGTTCCATACATACCAGGTCCGAGTGGGTACCAGAAGCGAAAACAGCATGCAGAAGTACTAACATCACCAGAGGTAGTAGCAGCAAAACAAGAGAAAAAAGAATCCAAAGAAAAAAATATCTGCGAAACTGATGAAAGCCCAACAACGAATGAAAAAAAAACGGATGACAAACAGAAAAGCAATACTAAGGAAAATGCGGAAAATAACAAACAGCTTGTCAAAGGGAAAAGTCGTAGAAGTGCCCCATTTGATTATAGCGAAAGCGAAACGGAAGTATAGTTACACAGAAAAGTGGTGAATCAGAAGTAGAAGTAGACCGTTCCGAAATTTGTGCAAAATGCGGTGAATGTTATTTTGACAAAAAAGGTCCTAAATGCGGTTGGATACGATGTGCGAGGTGTTCAGACTGGGTCCATGAAATCTACACAAGATCTGACTTATTCTGCAAGAATTGTATCCCACTTCAACAACTGGCAAACGATATTAAATCGAACAATTGAATATTTATTTTTTATTTTAGTTTAGGATTATTTTTGTTATTTATTTAATATATTTCAACTTATTTCAGGTTATCTTCGGTTTAAGATTAGGTTTATTTATTTATTTATTGATATGTTAAAGAACATTTCTTTAAAAATATATTTGTTTATGTTTATTTTCATAAATTACATGAATCCTTATGAGAATCACATGTTGCCATATTTCCCAATGTCCCATACCATAATACCCTAAGGCTGGGGAATATGGCAATTTGTCATTATTTGAGAGTTTTGTTTCAACAAATGGTAGTATGGATTCACGAGGATCTTTTTGAAAAACGATGCAACATGGCTATGTTTTACTGATGAAACAGAAACGGATTAGGACAAATGTTATTAGTTAAATAAATGAAGTCACATCTTGGAATAACCTCAAAATGCTAACGTGGTCAAAAGGTTAGAAGTGATGTATGAAGTTGGTACTATTGGCATTCAACTAGTTGTTAGGGGAATTGCTTTTTGTTTCATTTGTAGCCAATCTAAAGCAGCATGTGCGATAAATTAAGAGGAGCGTTAGTTCAAGTCAAAGAAGTTTCGAAATTTATTATGGAATTTTTTTTCAATTCATCTTCATTTTGTTAAATTGAGAGTTACCACTTGGCTAAATTGGTTGATGTTTTCAAGGACCTACACTGGTGAGAAAAAGGGGGAGAAAAGATAATTTTTCATAACATCATTTTAACTATTGAATTGTTATATTTTTATTGTGACAAATCAATATTGGGAGATATATGTAAACGTTCCAATTTTTCGAAATTTAACAAGTATGAATATGTAATACTAAGTTGTTGATTTGTTCATACAACTATCTGTCATGAAAATGTGTGACATTGCTAAAAACACACATTTGGAGAGATGTTCTTCTCTATCAAGGACCTTAATACTGCTATAGGACATAGAGTGTCCTCTGGGGTTGACATGTAGGCCAAATCACATATTTCTGGATGCAATCTGGTGTCACTCCTGTGGGATGTTATTCTGCCCTTTAGTGATCTAGAGGTTTGACCTATGTATAGTAAGTTACAACTATTACAATTAATGGAGTAGACAGTATTGGAACTCTGTCTAGTCCGGCCAGATTTGGAGTTAAGTACTGGATGTATTTCAATACCACAAAACTAATCCTGGAATTTGATGGTGCATTGATATTAGTATTAGGAGAATTGTGTTGAAATGTTGTTGGAAGGGGTGGAATTACTGTTGTCATTATTTGGATTTGGCCTAATACTAGACGGAGAGCTGATGTTAATCAAGTACCTCTGACCATTGATAATGTGTTGAGGGTCTTCGTAGATTTGAGGTGTGGAAAGTACTGTCAACTTTATTTTTAGTTCGTGATAAGATCTGAAATTCAGGAACGTTCCAGAGTACATTCGTTTCCTGTACCAATCTACCAGTAAGATGCTGTTGTTGTCTCGGATGATTCTTGATTTCATCTACCTTTTCAGTGGTGCATTGAATATAGGGGTGTGAGCTATTGAAGTCTTCAACAATACTATCTACACCCTGTGACGGGAGACACAACAATGTCGTCTACATACTTCTTTATGAAACATGGACTGAAAGGTAAAACTTGAATAACAATATCGAGCAGGTTATCCATCACATATTCTGCCAAAATTGGTGATAGTACTCAGCCCATTGGGCAGCCATGTGTCTGCGAAAAGATTTGATTATTGAATGTAAAATAATTATTATGGAAGAGATATTCTAAAACGGAGATAGAGATTTTTATCACCATTTTAGCCATGTTTTGCATCGTTTTCCAATAAAGATCCTCGTGAATCCAGTTTTTGATCACTCTACCATATGTTCTCGTACACATTTCATAACAAAAAGTCTCACCGATGGCGTAAGTAGAAAAAATGTCCAATCAATTGAGCATGTTAACTATTTATTACTTTTAAATATGTCTTTAGCTCTTGATGATGTCAGCATAGACTGCCGAAAGCTTGAGTCGTAAGGTACACTTAGCACAATTTGTCGATGTAGCTAAAGACGAGTCTTTCATTTAACTATTTAATTCGCTAAAGGTTGGTACGAGGGATGTGTTTTAAGTTTTGCATATGGAAATAAAACGACGCGGTAGGTAGTTTTAAATGACTTTATTTTTTTTCGAAGTATTTTCCACGAAGATTAATACACATCTGCATGCGCTCGAACCAATTTTCGAAGCACTTATTCCACTCGTTTGCTGGCAGATCCAAAACGACATTTTTGGATGCGTCAACTGCTTCTTCTGGTGACTGGAACCTTTGACCACGCAGTCTGTTTTTAATTTTCGGAAAAGTAAAGAAATCGTTAGGACGTAGACCGGGACTATATGGAGGATGGTCCAATAATTCCAAGTTTTCTTCGTTTTTGGGCTGTGTGCGAGCTTGCATTGTCTTGGTGGAGGATGATTCTTCTTTCGGGGTTGATTTTTCGGAGCTCGGTGATGACTTTTGGCAAACAAATTGTGGTATACCAATCCGCAGTAACAGTTCTTTGCTCATTAAGAGGAATTGTGGCAATATGACCCGCTTTTGACACAAATGTCGCGACCATCTTTTTCGAAACACTTCGAGAACGGATGACTTTGTTGGCTTTTCTTCACCTTGGAACACCCAAACAGCCGACTGTCATTTATTTTCTGGTTCATAACAGTAAATCCACGATTCATCATCACTGTACACATTTTTTGAGATTTCGGAATTGAAATGGTCAAGCTTTTTTTGACACCAATTAAGTCTGGCTGCTTTCTGCTCTTCAGTCAACAGGTCCAATGAGAAACTAATTTTCTTACTCCTAATTCTTCATGTAACATTTTTTGAATTGAGGTCTTTGAGATCTTCAAGGACGCCTCAATCTCGCGATATGTCACAAGTCTATCTTCAATGATGAGTTTGCGCACAGCATCGACGTTTTCCTGGGTGACTGCTGTTTTTGGTGCACCCACCCTGGGATCGTCGCTAAGACTCACCCGTCCACGATTGAATTCGCCATACCAACAGGAAATTGTCGACTGATGTGGCGCTTCGTTGCCGAAAACAGATAGTAACTCTGCAAGGCATTCTTGTTGCGATAATTGTCTCTGAAAGTTGTAATAAATTATAGCGCGAAAATGTTCTCGGTTGAGTTCCATTTTTCTAATGACTTGGTGACACTTAAAAATTCACTGTGTAGTGAGCACGTATTGTTGTGAAACTTTGAATTTAAGTTTACTAAAGAGTGAGGTTAAGATTCAGTACTGACGTTCGATCCGCGCGGCCTACTATGTTTCTATATGCAAAACTTAAAAGGCATCCCTCGTACACACCAGGAAAACCATTTCGCATTGTTTTTCCAGTATAAGCGAAAAAAAGTTAGTACAGGAGTTTTAAAATGAAAAACAAGACGATTTTGTATCCCTAAACATTTAATCCGTTTTCATCTTTGTATTGAAGTCTGTTAGCAATAATAAATTTGAAGAATATCTGGACCGCAGTAAAAACTATTTACACCAAACACGAACATTTTTTCACATGTCTGAGTTGAAGCTGTATGAATATTGTTTGTGTCGTTTCACATTTGTGCATCGAAACTTTTAAGTAAAAGTACAAGAAACTACTATAAAATGAGACTTCGTTTACAAATCTGGCGTTGACATATCCATCAGCGTTAGGTGCCGCTTGTCGATATTGGGTTATTCTGAATGTGTATTTGTTGTCACATTTTGACGTGTTGAGCTAGCGTGAAAAATGAATTAGGAGTGCTATAGTTTCGTTGATCGTTTTTTGATTTTCTTTTTGCAAGTTGAATACAGGTTGAACATGAGCAACACTCAAGTGCTCAAAAACGCCAAATTTATATTTCTCTCTGTCTCTTCAACGATGAAAAGTCAGTTTTGATCCCATCTTTTTTATACCGAAGCAGCCGCGCAGATAGAAGCCTGTTTATGCGATTTTTGGACTGCTTAAGGTTCGTAGAACTGGGAGAAGCCTCCTCGGGTAGATTGTTACACAATTGGGATGGGAGGCCGAAGTCAGGCGGGTCTGTCTAGCTAGCTCATCGCGCGGCAGCATCATGGAGGAGAGCTCTGAAGAGCAAAGCCTGTTGGTGTAGCAGTAGAAGAGAGCCGACGGCCTGTCGGTGCGAAAGGGTTCTGAGACTGTCTGTTAAATAGTCATCGATCAGTCGGAACATGAATAGTGTAGTCGGGGCGGCAGTACCACAAATATGTGAGCAGTACTCGTACTCGAGGCTAGGGCTTATCTAGGCTTTGTACAGATGGGAAGGTTATGTAGAGAAAAACTTTTTATTGCCCAAAACAAATAGCTTAGCTTGCTCTAAGCAGCTACCGCTATTGGCGGGATGTGTTCGTGCCAGATCATGTCCTCGCTGATCTGGAATCCGTCCAGCCGATATGTACGGCTCTTTCGATCATCCATCCAAACCAGATGAGTGCCAGAGCGCTTCTTGTTAGTCAAGATACATGGGTACATTACTGTGTTTTGGAAGCATTAGACTGCACCAAACTGTTGCGTCCCCAAGAAGTGATAACCTCCAGACCTATCGTCAGAGAGAAAATCGTTACCAGTATTCTTTTCTCCAGCTCACCGCCAGAGATCGGCTTGTCACTGCGAATTCCTGCATGTAGAGTGCTGTCATCAGCAAAACTACGAATCAGATTGATCGTATATGAAGGAAGGTCGTTGATATGCAAAAGAAGCAATGTGGAAGCCAGCACCGAACCCTGGGGAACACCCGCGTTGATATTGT